TTATGTTCTCGCAACTACTGTTTGAACTCGTTTTCCCTTGTTTTCAAAGAAAACTATCTGGTTTAAGATACTATTGCAGACTTATTTGGAGGTTCCTCTTAGGTACAGATACTTTTGTAAGTTATATCTCTGCAAATATAATTATTTTAAAAATAAATGAATATACCTTGACAATAGAGGATGCGATAATTAATCTGGGATGTTTACTGCAATTTGTCTCTCTTGAGAGCTTTTATAAACAATGTAAAATTCAGTTTGAAGAAATGGTAACTGATATTCATTACATCCCGTGGTATTATTATCGTCTTCAGTTACTACACAATTATTTTGGGAGCCGCAGAGGCTCAGTGTTTGAGAGGTGCTGGCCTGACGGACCCAAGGACCATAATATGTCGGAATTTCTGTCTGGTGATTTGCTTTTTGTGCGACTCCGGGGGTGAATACGCTTACTTTTCAAGTCAGCCTCAGAATATTTCTTGCGGGAAAGGCGGCCAGAGCGTTATATCGCCACACAACCTCCTAGGACCACATCGGCAAATGGTTACATTTTCACGGGGGAACTGCAATTTACCTTTACTTATTTATATCGATTGTCTGAAGTTTCGCTATTTAATGTTTTCCAACTTCCAAATAAATTTTTTAATGAATTTCTTGGAGAAAAATAACATAGCAATTGTTTAGGTAACATAGCAAAAGGTTGTATAGCAATTTTAATTTCCCATTTCGTCGGTTCCCTTCCATTACTTTCTACTACTCTCGAAATGATAGATCTGTACAGTTTCCACTACTTCTGGACATACAAAGTTTCTTATTGAACTCAGTTGTTCAACATAGTTTCGAGAAATACGATTCACAACGAAATTTTACTGCTCAGACTGCAAGAAAATGCTGAATAGCAGAGATATCCATCTGTCATAATGATTATACAAATTTCATGATGAGGACGGATATATTGCCGCTATATTAATCCAATCTTATAATTTAAAATGTTTTAATCAGTAAATTACTCAGCAGATTAAGATGCTGTATACGTTTTCGAAAAAAACAACTATATTTAAATGCACGAGATCAAAATTAAAGTAGCACAAAGTTGCAGTAAAAACCAAAGAAAATTGTTTGTACAATATAATTAGAGTCATATTTTTATCGTGAAATAATTTCAAAAACGTATAATTTCTTGTTAATAACAAATTAATCTAAAATATTAATTTTTGTTCAACTCACCAAATATTTTCTTCCGAATTAAATATTAATTAACATTTCACATAAATACTAGGTTTTTAACAATATTTTAGGAATGATTTTGTGAGCTCTTGGAGAGAATCTGTAGTCGAGACTTCGCAGTTTGAAGGGGGTCAGTATTTTTGACAAATAGCTAAATCTTAGAATGTGCGAATTCATAGGCGTGCGCAGTCTAAATCAAGAGGGTGGGCAACTACATATCTGAGCCCCTCCGATCCCCACCGAGCAATCTTTTAGCTTAAATATTTTTTGTTTATGAATGACTTATTTTAGTAGTATATAAATAAAACATTACATACAGAATGTATTAACTTTAATTACCCGATAAATAAATACAATTGATGTTAAACAATATTCTTTGTAGACATAGTTTGGAGACCCTATCCCTACCCCATTGATCATATTTACGTAAGTTAAATGTATAATGGAAAATTACGGGGCCTCTTTCAAAATATCTAGGGGGGATAATGGCCTCCCCTTCCCTCATCCCATATGCGCGTATTTAATGGAGTAGAAATACTGAAGTAGTAGTTACACAAGGGAAGTGAGTCAAGATAAGTTGTATAACTATTTGGTGTACAAGAATAATCCTATAGGTAACGATTGAACTTAATAATAATAATAATAATAATAATAATAATAATACCTTATTAATATCGCGCTCATTTCATAGGACCTGCTCTTCGCCTAGGCACTGAATATACATACATACACAGCCAATAACATTTTAAGAGAGGCAGGACAAGCTGTGCATTCTATCTGGAGGTGAAAAAACTACCGACCATCAAGGCATATGCCTTAAGTGATTGAGTAACGCAGAAAAAACTCAATCAGGTTGATGGCTTAGGGCCAAACATTATCAATACACCGAGAGGAGTGAAAGAGAAAAAATGAGAGAAGGAAAACATAAATGAAAACGAAGAGGAAAATCCGAACGAGAAGGAAGAAAGAGAGACTGTGAAGGGCGAATTATTTAGCGAGTGTCGGATATTCACAGTTGTCAGGACTCAAACTCTAGGACCACCCGGTCGAAGTCGCTGCAGATCCAACAGCAATGCTGCTTCTGAGCTCAACGCAACCGATTTAACACGTACAACTCTTTGAATCACCCCTCCTAACACAGCGTATTTCAAACGTGTTGCGTTTATCCATTTGCTGAAGCTGTTTGTCAAAACAACGCTGGCCGGGGGGGGGGGGCGCGAAATGCGCCGGCGCTCACGCGGGGAGTTGCGCGGCGGCCTGGCGGGTGGCGAGGCGCCCGCTTCATTACGTTGACGGGCGCACGCTGCGTGTTCCATCTTGGTGTGGCGCAATTCGAGCCGACTCGGTATATCACGTCGCGTCTCGCTAATCTCTGTCGGCCCTGGTCGGCGCTTCGGGAGCATCGAACTGTCATGAATCATTTACTGCCCAGAGGCAATGTTCACGTGAAAAACACCGTGATATGTTGCGAACTACAGCGCAATGAATGCGTTTACTTACGCTCAGCGCTCATATTATTAGTGATAGAATCATTAACATTAGAAATTTAGCAGTTTTAAGAATGAATAAGTATATTTACGTGTTTGGTATACGCTCGAATAAGTATCGAAATTGCTAAGTCCGAAATGTGCAAGGATGTAAAAGCTTATATATCTCAGTCTGAATATCAGTCTCTTTCTTTTTTGTTGTTATCCAATAACTTTTAAGATATTAGCACAGTGTTGTCTTTTGTTTCTATTGCGTATCGTTGCCATCAGTAATTAGTGTCAGTGAATCATAAGTGATAATTTTGCTATCACTAAATTGTGTATTTATTTATTTATTTGTTATTACCTAATTCTTATTTATTTATTTACTTATTTATTTATTCTTATTTATTTATTTGTTATTACCTAATTCTTTTTTATGATTAAATTCAGTTTGAGGCTTTTCAAAGTATTTCATACTTTTTTAATTAATAATATAATATTTAGCATAACCTTATTTCGACGATCGTGCGAAACGCACAGAACGGCATGAGAAACAGGACAAAAATAACCTCACTGTTCGAGAATAGCAAGCTTTCAAGAATAACCGCTTGAATCCAAACAATCGCGAACAAGCATCTGTGACAAATTGGAAAAAGAGAATCCGGCGTTCTTTCCCGCTCACGACCTGGGGAAATTCTCGCACTCGGCGCAGCGCAGCGGCAGGCTTCGGCCGGGGCTGTTTACACGGGTCGGGGCAGCGGGGGATCGAGGGTGGCGGGGCGGAAGGGCGCGTGGGCGGGGCCGGCGCCGCGGGAGGTCGCGGCTGTCGGGCGGCGTCGCGCAAATAAACAGCCGTCGGCTGGGCGCGCTTCACTCCACGCCCGCCGTAATGCGAAGAAGTGGCCGATCGGACTGGTCGCCAACGGCGGAAGTCGCCTCCGCGGCCACCCCCCCCCCCCAAAGGCCGCCATTGCTCGCTCACTGTGTACTGCATGGGCCGAAAGGCGAGGATGGACACGGAACAATCTTTATAGTTGATTTTTCGCATCAACTCTTTCAAAGGATGAGAATTGTTTAACAACTCTCAGTCAAATACGTTTGTTTCGTCGAGTCCGGTGTTGGTAGGTCAAAATGAGAGAGAAGTGTACAGCATTATGCAGGATATCTCAGACTAAATGTTGCAAACTTCTAAGGTTTGCACGGGAGGTCAAATATCACTTTTTGTCAATGGGGTGAAATCTACTTATGACGTTTGCAGTGATTGGTTGGAAATTAATCTTGTGCTGTCGTTTGCCATGTCTCTTTGATGCGTTATAGAAACGTGCACCATTGTAACGTTTGTTCTGAGGAACCGGTGTACAGGAATCTGAATCCTGGAAAAGGTGTTAGATGAAAGTAAGTACAGTAATCTGGTGTCCAGAGATTGGAACTCTACTGTACTTTTAAAGAGTCCGGGATAAATATTCCCCTCGTTTTAATTTTGCTAGTAAGTGCTATAATTGATAAATGTGTATAAAAACTGTAGTTCGACATTTTTCAGACTAGTGATATAATGGTTAATTTAACATTCTTATTAAGATTTTAGTAATAGGGTGATTCAATATTGATTATTCGGAAATTCTGCCCATTTAAAATATTATTTTTTTCAATCCAAATAATCTTGAAAAAATATATTCAAACGCTGCATATTCATTTCAAATAGTTCAATATCTGTGCCACCGAAAAAATCGACACACCTTCGCTCTGTGATATTTCAGTCTACTATGTGCCCGCAACGGAAGTGAGGGTGGGGCTGTTTTCGTGTCAGGCAGTGTGCCACGAGAGCGGGGTCGTGTAAACGTTGTAACAAGAATGCGAGTGAGTAAACTCGCCTAGTGAAAGAAGTGAGGAGGGACAGTTACGCCGGGGCGCTCAGTTTTGATGAGGCCACTTTTTACTCCACTGAGTTCATGAAGTTGCATTTATGTTCAGAACTAGCAGTGTACATTATTCAAACAGCGTTAATCACTATATTAACCACATAATATTCAAGAGTAGTAAACTAATGGGTACACTTAATGTAAACTAAACAGTACCACCATGTAAACTAAACAACATTGTAAACTAAGATGTACAATAATATTCAAGATAAGTAAAATAATGTTAAGAAACAAAAATTATCCATGTCATTTAGTAAATATCAGTTTATGACCCATTACAGGAGCCATCGGCGCCATAACAGAATCAAGCAGGTTTAATTAGTATATTCAATCAATACAAATTCATTATTACTTCAATTTTCATTATTATTCATGTTTATTTTTATAGGTTTCCAGGTGTTGAACTCGACTTTCTGCAGGCGACAGATTCTTACTTGGGCCGCCCCGATGGTAGCTCATGCTTCGGATACCCCACCGAATTCGCCGCCAACGGGACGTGTGACTCACATGGCGTGAGTTTACGACTGCAGACACTTGAGAACCTGTGTCGCTCGTAAGTCAACAAGCAAAGTCACTCTTTCGGACACCGTTACGTCTGTTCTGAATCGGCTTTCGGGATGTGACCGAGTGAAACGCGAGAGAACAGCTGTTAGTTTATTTTTTCTCAGTGCACTCTAAAACACAACCTACATTTTATTGGAAACTCTTTCCGGCGATTTCGCGTCAAATTTTTATATCCGTGTTTAACGGACAAGCATTCTTAGTTGTATTAAATGTCTCTGAAATGAGAAGTGTTTAGAATGATTGAAAATAATCTTATTATCAGCCCTTTTTCCTGCGTACCATTAACTCGATGTACTGTTTCGAAAATGTCTAATGCGTCCGCTCTTTCAGATTTGAAATAGGGACAATCATCGTTATCTGCTCAGTCCTAAAAAAACATATACCTTGCGGAATGAAACTCCCTCATTTATTTTAGAATCAATATAAATGTATTTCAATAATTTATAGCTAATACATTTTGTATGTTCAAATTCTTTACAACATTATTTCAAGAATTACAAAGTAATATTTAGTTGTTGCAAATGTCAAAATACTAAATTATTTGCGACTTTTTAAGATCGTTATATTTAAGATGTCATGAAAAATGAACTTCGAATATGAATTCGCAAACTTCTATGGTTAAGTTAGCTACTATATGATGGACGATTAAAGACTTCAAAATATTTTTTTTACGTGACAGGCAAAACAAACTTCAGGAAGCTATATACAATCTCCGTACGTCTTTAAATCTACAAGCATTGTTACCGATGTGCTCATAATAAGAAAATACTTAATATATTAATAGCATCCGCAAAGAGAAAAATACTTGATTTAATATCGACAACGTGAAATCGGTGAATATTGACTGACGCCCTTTATACTGCCGTTCATAAAAACGTATCTTATAAAATTCCCTTATTTGAATGATTTCTAAGTGAATCTTCAATCTAGATTTATCACTGGCATGTTCTCGCTTCTCATTTTGTCCTCTGTTCGATTGATTCGTTGATTAATGTTTCCTGATACGTCAACGTCTAAGACCATTTGTCTCGTAAGTATAGTGCGGTTTTTCCTCGGGAGGTGACAGTGATCTTCCCCCACTTTTAATGGTGCGATTCGGCTCCGACCTACCTGTCACGTAACAGAGGTTTCCCCAACCAGATATCTCCCACCAGCGAATATCGCCTCAGCGGGGCTAGCTCTAAGCTCCCGACCTGCCTCTCGGCATTTGTGTTACTGTCATGCACGTAAGCGCGTGTGTGTATGGGTGAGCATAGGATAAGGAAGGGAAAGGAAAATATCGCGCGGTCCGTCGTCCATTTTTAAAGGAAATGTTCCGGCGTTCATCTGGTATTGATCAGAGAAACCACGGAAAACTTCTGATCTGAGCACCAGACTGCTAGAATTCTCCTGCAGACAGCGAAAGAACTCGACCTATCTGTCTAGCTAGTGTCGAAAATGCTTCCACCGTGGGGAGTGGAAATCTAGGACTTCCGATTAGAGGGACTGCAGTGACATCAGTTGATGACACATCTCTCCTGGTCCTCTGCTCAATCTATGCTTTTAAGTATTACGTCTTGCGTGGCAGTTCCCAATTGAAACTGATATTTACCCAGCGGTCGCATACTGAAAACAGCTATAGTCATCAGGAGCCGTCACGAAACTAAAGAGGTTTTTTTATTGTGAAAGGATTTAGATTTTTGAAACTAAAAAATGTGATAGTAGTAAGTAATGTGATGTGGTAGTAGGAATGAAAATTTGTTTTGTATTATTATTCATCCGGATGGCACTTAAAGTACCTATTTTGAAATAGCGTGGTTTAAGTTGACCTAACATTCTTGTTCTTTCAATAACATTCCAGGAACTTTTATATGGTAAAACTTTGCAGCAAATTTCGCCCCTTTAATAACTCTCTTATCATTCCTTCTTCGGAATCTGCTAAGAAATAGTTTGAGAGATCAACGTGCTTCCGTACAAGAGTGAAGGGGTTTGTTTACTTTTTGCTTTATTTAAAGATACATTCTTTAGTTGTGGACTACCTCATTTGCCAAGAGCCGTTCTCCAAAACTAAAAATAGAGGAATATGTTTGTGAAAAGGTTAACTTTATGCTTATTCGGTTGCACAAAAAGTGCACCTTTTTTCACCAGCCATAATAAATATTGATCAACTTTTAAATGTAGATGAGAGGGTCATGATCTTGATATTATATAAAACAACAGTGATCCAAAATATCTTAAGTGATATGAATTATTGGTTATCGAAATTTACTTTTGTGAAATGTTCCAAAGAAATGGAACGAAATTTATTTTTAATTTAGTTTTATAACATGGAGAGGTTGTTTTTTATAAAACATTACATGCTATCATAAAAGTTTGTCTCAGACCTGTTTTGAACGTTCTAAAATATTTGGGACAAAATTAAGACACTGGATACAAAATTAGGAGCACCTAAAATTCGTTCACATTTTTTATTTCTTCTTTTTGAGAAACCATTGCTGACAAATGACCAGTCTAACCAAAAATTCAAAGTTGCTAATATATTTTATTAGGTTTTTGCATTGATTCGGTTTTTTTCGTACTAAAATTAATAGTTTTGAGACGATATTGTACAGATAAAGTACACTATTTATCTGAAGTTATTTTTATTCATTTCATAACTTTTTGTAGTTACAAAAAATTCATATTATTGTTTTATTTTGATAATATTTTTGGTGGGACAATTAAGAAAAAATCAAAGTTTTATTGTTTGTAATGAAAATAAAATACTAATCTAAATCGCCTAAAAGCCCTTGGAGCAATGATTATGAGTGATGTAATGTAATATTTGATGTGATGTAATATTTGTCAACTTACTTTGTAAAATTATGAGAAAATAAAAAGAAATGTAGTTCTCTTTTTACAATTGAATTGTCTCAAATGAACGATGAACAAGAAATTGAAGTTCCAAAGCAGAGACTTAGGAATCTTAATCTGAATGTGAGATGTGTCTTGTAGATTTCGCTGAGTCAAAAGATTTTTTAGAGTAATGAGCTACTTTGAAGATCTGACAGTCTTGCATGTGGAGCTGCTTTGCATACTTCATTATTCAGTTATAATAAGCCTTTGAAGTTACTCTGCGTTTTCCTTTGTCAGAATCAACGTGTGTTAAGCGACATACGAGTTCTGACGTTCTATTTCTTCAAGCATTCTCACACAACTCGTATGATGTGTATCAACTTCGGGTGAAATTCATTTTCATATTTTTTTAACTTAATGTATGACGACTCATCTCTTAATCTGCATATTTGTTGTTGTTTAACGCGATATTTGTTGTTTTTGTAGGTGTTAGGGATAGATACTATACTTAGGATCTGTCGGAAATAATCAGTTTTCAGATACCGGAAACCTTAGTTAATCATACTTATTATGATTAACTTCCCGCAGTAAATTCACGAACCTTATCTACGTTCATAATTTTCGCTGGATATCGACCAGAAGTTCCTTCGAAATACTATTTCACGTCTTTTCATCCGTCTTCTCAACTGCCGCATTCATTTTTCCGCACTTCTTGTCGAGAAAACCCTCCGCGGACGATTAAGGCAACGAAACATTTAAGGCGCCTATCGCAAGTCAAGGCGAAGAAGCAACTCTCGCTCCTACGGAAGAGCTGCGTTGTTGATTTTGGGCCGGGAGACGCTGGTTTCTCTCCCCGGGAGCGCTCTATCTTCCCTCGAGGGCAGCGGCGGCGCCTCCCGCGCGAAGCCCCGGGCCCCAGAGGCGTGACTGGAAAACTGCCGAGATGGGATTTTGCAGGTACAAGCGAAGAAATTAAGAGCCTACTGTAAACATGCGTGCCCCTGCATACTAAACTCCAAGTGGACAACTTAAACTCAATATAGTCTAGAGGTATATGGAAAGTGAATAGGTTCCGTGATGTAATTTTCGAAGTTCAGTGAAAAGCTTGAATACATTTTATTAATCGAGAGTTGTACAGAATTGTACAGTCATGGATTTTTATGTATTAACTGTATGTACTATTTTCCTTATTTTCGAATAAGAACTAAATAAAATTATAATTTAGCTTTATCGTTTAAACATGGTAAATTAATTCTTTACAATTACAATATATATTAAAATTATAAAATAACGTGTTCATACTATACGTTTTATAGAACTTTTTGTGTCTCATATAATTTTATTACAATAATTACACACTTTGTTGAATTAAATATGTCCATAACTTGTATAAAATTATTATTCACATGTAGTAAGTGAATTATCACAATTATGTCGATGCTTTTATGAGCATTAATATAAAATAAGCTTTTAAAAGTTAGACTAGTTTAAATATGCCGCAATTATTCACCAAAAATTGATTTTGAAGTTGAAATAGTTGCATACAGGAATGCAACATCGGTCCGGCAAGCTCTAAACTGCACGTTACATTAAATTGGTCTAATAATGTTTGTGTGTATACATGCTAATATTTTTCTGTGCTTTTTAACCAACACAAAATTTTGGATACGTGAGATGAAAATGCACAGAATCTCACATAACTCAAATCTTTAAAAAAAAATCCAGATTAGTTTTTAGCCACGTTCCGCCAAAGTAAGGACTTCATAACTGGATTTTAAAGTTCTGGAGCGCACCCTTTCAAATATGTGAATTATGGTAACGTGTATTTGCAGTGGAACATGTGTTTCGTATTGTGCTTGCGCCTGCCAAATTCTGCGTTGAAAGTCTCCAAAATTCCGCGCCCTGAATATGTTTGATCCACCCCTGGGAAGTTCTCTTCTATCGATCAGTTGAAAATATACGGGGATTTGTGCCAATGACGTCTTATAAGTAGTAAGAAATTCTTATTTGCTTGATGTATGATATATAGAAGGGCATGATATATATATATGTATGTATGTATATATATGTATATATATGTATATATATATATATATATATTCATATATATACATATATATACATATATACATATATATATACATATATACATACTATATATACAATATATATATATATACATATATTCACATATATATACATATTGTGACGTACCTGGGAACGGACTTTTCACGACAAATAATCATATAAAGGACGGGTACATTTTCGTGAATGGGTCTCCAGGGGAAATTGACGCTGCATTAGGAAGAATATTTAAACGAAATTCATTTTATGCAATTGGAGGTTTAATAATTACAACACT